TAGAGAGATGACAGAAGTGGAACCAAGCGGCACAAGACAGAGGGGTGGGCTAACCAGGCCACAGAGCAAGAAAGCTGAGTGCACTTCGGCAAAAAGCTTGCTAGTGGAGTGGCATGAGCCTACTGGAAGAACTAAAAGAGCTTTGTGTCACTTTCCCAAGCAGGGCAGAGGCCAGGCTGAGAGGCCAAAGGCTATAGAGGCATGCCTGAGGGCATAGCAGAAGGGAGACGACCCTGATTGAAGAATTGTGTCCTAACTGCAATCCTGACCTTGAAGTGCAGCCAGTTACTTCCCTAATAACCCCATAACTGTGAATATTGCCTGTAAGCTCTGTGTGGGCATTGCAAAGAATCATCAATCCCAGCAGAGAAGTAGTGAGTACCGTGGGAGGGATGGCTGGTGTCAGAATTGGGATAAGGCTGGAGGGTGGCAGCATGTCTGGCCTCATAGGAATAAGCCTTGGGCTGATGATGGTGATTCTGTTTTCTTCTTGTGAAGTTAGAGGAGGTCAGAAGATGCTGCCTCCATGCCATTTTTTGCACAAATGAATGTTATTTATTATAAGTTTCAATTAAAAGTTATCCTAAAATTTGCCAGATGCAATTCTTCTGCATTGGCTCTGGTATCCTTTTGACACATTGCCAGGATTCTTTGAGTATTTCTTTACTTTCTCTGGTAAACGAGATATTCCAGCCTTATTGGTACCTCCCATTCCCCACCTATGTAATCAGCCACTTCTCTCAATTTCTCCAAATGGAGAATAGCATTGAGAAACTAAAATCTGGACTTCAAGCATGCCTGTTGCTGTTGTTATTTCATTACTTTTAGCCCTACCTTAGTAGGCAGAGCTTGGGAATATGATATGGTAGGATTTGGTGTGATGTACTCCCAATAGCTTCAACTTTTTGAGTACTTTATATAAAATATATATATATATAATATTATGTGTGTGTGTGTGTGTGTATATATATATATATATATATATATTTAAAAAAGGCTAAATTGCTTATGCCTGGAGAGGAAAAGGAATAAATCTATTTCACTATACAGAGCTTTCCAAATTCTTCTATTTTGTTTTCATTAATATTTGGGTCAGACTGTTAGTGAAATAAGACACCCCTTTCAACATACTAGGAGCTCGGGTGACATAGTGCCTAAGACACTTGACTCATAGTCAGAAGGCTGGTGGTTCAAACCCACCAGCCACTCCTCAGAAGGAAGGTTGGGCAATCTTCTTCCTCAGTGATACTGCATCAGAAACACAAGGAGGGGTCGCTATGAGTCAGATCCGACTTGATGGCTGTGAGTTTTTTTAGTTCCAACATACTGCAAGACCAAGCATTTCAAAATTACTGGAAAATTCTAGTAACACAAAAACATAAGTAACATTTTCAGCTGCTAGATGCACGAAAGGACTGTTTGGAATGGAAATGAGGAAGCAAAATCTATTCCTTTGGTTACCTGGTCATTTGGCAAAGGTCTTGGATGCAGTGTTGTCTTTTTACTCTGGTATGATTTCACAGTGGTCTAGAAGCCTCACGGCTGAGAACAATTTGCCCTAAGAAAGAGACAGTGAGACAGGAGAGAATAGGGGAAAGATCCCAACTCAGTCAAAAGGTCCCTAATGCAGCACTCTGCTCAGTTAAGTTGCATACGAAATCAGGAATTCTTGGCTGAGTTATTCATTTTAATCAATCTGCTTATTACATAGGAACCCAGTTGTGCAGGTGTTAAGCTGCTAACTGCTAGGTCAGCAGTTCAAACCCATCAGCTACTCTGTGGGAGGAAGATATGGCGGTGTTCCTCCTTAAGGTTTATGACCTTGGAAACCCCATAGGGCAACTCTACTCAGTCCTATGGGGTTGCTATGATTCGGAATCAACTCCTCAGAATTGGTTTCATGTATTACATATACCATTACATCTGCTACTGTTTTCTGCTCTTCCTGCTATGCCACCTTCACAAAATGGATTAGTGTCTTAATTTCCAAATGTTATGAGAAGCAAGAGAGGCTGAAGATTTACAAGCTTAAATTGCCCTAAGATTAGGTCTTATTTCTTTACCAGTGAAGATTTGTACAATACAAGGATCAAAAAATTTCTTCAGAAATAAAATCCTGCACTTAGTGGAAACTTCAGAATCATCAGCAACAATTAGTTTCCTCAGGGAACACGTGACTGAGAAATGGGCAAAGGCTCTGGGAGAGGTGTTAGGACAGACTGAAGCAAATGCCTATCTGTATAGAATACAAAAAGACGTGATGAGTTTTTTTGTAAAATGTGCCTTTCAAGAATACGCTAGCAGGGGAAGGACATCTTTTAGGAAAGACAGCCCTAGACACTGGAAAATGAAATTAAATTCTCAATAAGTTAGTCAGTCTCCTGGAAACTTTCACACCAATAGTAGGTTTTACCACAGAATTGGCACAAGTGACAGTAGAATAAGAAAACAGGATGATGCAAATAAAGACCTGAAGACTGAGCACCAGCCCTTTGAGACAGGTCTGAAGGATTTTGCTAATCATCCCTCGTGCCCAAGGAAGATCCACCCTCTTAAGTTGTTACTGTATATTTCAATACATTTTGTTGTTAGTTTTATAATTGCCAAAGTTAAATAAACGTGACTGCGGTTCACTCACGCTTCTCTTTAATATCTTCAACAAGTTTGACACCCTTGATATTTCTGGAGTAACCTGATATTCTTTTACTAATATCAAGAAAACTTTATCCATCTCATCCAACCTGATCCAATTGCTAATTCTCAAGAACACTGCTCATTGGCCAGACAAACCCTGTTGGAAACATATATTTCTCAGCAACACATGAGTTCCTTTCATTCCTAAAATTTTATCAGAGGTGGATTTTGCTTTGTTAGCTGACCTTCAACAGTGAGTAGACTTACAGCCTCTCTCAAGTCTCGCCTTCTTTTAAGCACAAGTGCACTCAGTTCTTTCCTCTCCGGTTTTCTATCTTTCCCTTTTTCTTTAGAACTTCAATGAAAGGGAAAAAGGAAGATATAAGGCATTCTTCCTCTCTAAAAAAGGAAGATATAAATAACACTTCCTTTGCCTGTGCAACCACTTTTTTCTATATTCATCAGGGAGACTCAAGCAGGATGTGACTTGCCAAAGCCAGGATCCTACTTGAATCCATCTCATTATTTTCCCCTTGCTTCTGTGACAAACCACCTAGCATAATTTTTCCTCTCTTGAGACTGTGAAAGACAAGGTAGTTGACTGACCAAACATTCTATGTAACAAAATACAAAAAGAAAAAAGGAAAAGATTTTCAGAATGTTTGAATGGTCTGGTTGACTCCCTCTTTGTTAATATTCTGAGTTTCTGGAATCTGTGTATTTTGGGGCAAGTTATTTGTAGGGTGTTAGGAACAGTGTGACAGTGACTCACATTTTCACCTTTGTCTTTCACGTAAACCATTTTTCCTACTTACGCATTCCTCTGTTTTCTATGTTACAAAGTGTAAATGCTCCCCTACCTCCTCCAAAGCCTGCATTCTATAAAGTTTTTCCAGGAAAATTTGTGATGTTCATGTAAAAATGAGTCTCCATATACCCCTATAAGAACTATTCTCTGTGATTTATCATCTAGGATGTTCGATACCCAAGTCTCAATAGTTCAGGTTGTCTGGACTTGAACTTGTAGGAGGAGAGCAAAATTTTATTCCTGCAGCAGGTTGGTAGGGCCATTAATCAACCCCACAAAAGTTGAGATACAACTTCTATAGAAATGTTAGACAGTACTTTATCAATACTTTGCTTCTCATTTTTCAATGTGAATGGTGGTATTGTTAAAATGCAGATTTCCTGGTACTACCCCACAGAAATTTGGTTTCTGCCGTTTTGGAATAGAGCCTAGAACCATGATTAAAAAAAGCAGAAACCAAGCCTATTCTAGCAAAAGGAATAACACTAACCCCTGACTTCCATCTATTGTTCAGGTGTTAGGTTGTTTGTAAAGAAGTTAAATGTTATTTCCTAAAATGCCACTTAGACAAAACCATATTTGGAGCTTTCTAAGAATTCAGTCTCTCTGTGTGTACAGAGATTTAAAATAAATAAATAACTGGTCTAATTTATTTTCTGGTTCCAAACCTAGTGTTCTTAGAACTGGGATTCCTCATTTTAAATTTCAAGAACAGGTTTCTCAGGCAAAACCAATAACAAGCTACTTGGCTGGTTCAGGTTTTGGACAGATGTATCTTTAACCTGTTTGTTTCCTATTTTTATTTTGCCTTTCATATTTAAAATTATATCACCTTTGTGCCTTAAAAAAAAAAAAAAAAAAAAAAAGCTCCTATTGGGAATTATTATAAAAATCACCATGCAATATCTCAAAACTATCTGAGGCCATTGTTTACAAAGTCAAACCAATTGCTATTACCCATGCAGAACAGTTCCCACAAATCATGTGGCACAGTGTAACAGATTACAAAGCCTCCAACTCTTCTTTCAGCAGATCATTTACACTCCGAGAAAATAACAGACGAAAAATGTATTCATTAAAGAACTTACTATTGTGGTGACAATGAAACCAATGCAAATTATAAAATACTAAAACTCTATATTGAAGTGGTTAAAAGTATGGACCTTAAAGCCAGAGAGCCTGCTTCAAATCCTGGTCTGTGTTCTGCTAATTGGGTAACTTTGAGCAATTTACTTAACCTCTTCATGCCTCAATTTCTTCATCTCTGTGTTTGAGATTTTGACAATGCCTCATTCAGTGAGTTCTAGGGAAAGGTGTTCAACCTCTTAGAATCTCAATTTTTTCATCTTTAAAATAGTAATGATGGCAATATCTACTTCCTCAGTTGCTGTGAAGAGTAGATGATTTAATATTTGCCAGATGTTTACTATGGTAAATGAGTTGATAAAACATTTAAATGGTGTACAGCCCATACGAAGTCTTCAAGAAATGTTAGTCATTACTATAAAACACCAAGAATTTAAAATTTTTTCATGTTTTTACCTGTAGGTGAATAATTATGGATGACACAGACACATATTTATTTAATTTTAAAGGTTATAATTTTGAGCGTTCCCTGATTGATATTGACGTACTAGAAAACCTAGATGACTTTGAAATTAGAGATGATGATGTCTTCATAATCACATATCCAAAATCTGGTAAGTGTGAGGACTACACTTGCTATTATCTGTCTTACTCTGGTTAGTTAATCCATGTGTACAAATGTGCCTTTAACCCAACATGAAGAGCACCCCAATCTCTATTTTGAATCGTTGAGAAAGAGAAAAAAAAAAAAAAGGAACGAAACTCAAACCTCTACGATATAAGGCTATTAAAATGCATATATTGTCATTTCTAATGGTAAATATAAAGAAATCAAATACTGAGTTAAGAGCAAATTCTTGGTAAATGAGGACCCATTGAGTTTGGCTGAGAATGGGAGAAAAATTATTTGAGAAACTAGCATGTTTTTGAATAAGGCTAATTGCTTTATATTCATCTGTAGTAATGAAATAATTTTGAAGTAAAATGAATTGCCATCAAATGTCCCATTCCAAAAGTTTAGTTTTTAAACTATGCATTCTAGAATGTAGGAGATATGCTGTTATATACAAACCCATTGCTATCGAGTTGGACCTGACTCATAGCGAGCCCTCCTTGGGTTTCTGAGGCAGTATCACTACAGAAGTAGATTGCCCTACCTTAGAAGAGTCTTTCCTTACTCTAAATCAGGCTCAAGTCTCTTGGACACCACACACTAATGTTCAGTCCATCCTGCTGGGCTTTTGCTAATCTTGGAGGGATATCATCAGTGAGTCTCCCAGGATTCAATATTAATAGTGTGAAATCTACCATGTAAATAAGTCAGTCGAGCAGTGACATCTGCAAGATTTTTGGCATCTCATACAATTTTAGAACATTGATTCATGAACATAGATGTAAAGATTCTAAACCTAGTATTGAGCAATCCAAATTGAACAGTAAAAAACTACACTATAACCAAGTTGGTTTTATTTCAGAAGTCAAGACTGGTTAAAAATTTAATCTATTAATATAGTTTGTCTACTTTACTAGCCTAGTTTGTCTACTTTACTAGCCTATAGAAGAAAGCCCACATTATCATCTTAATAGATGCAGAACATGCATTCAGTAAAATTCAACATCCATTCACAATGGAAACTAGTAGCAAACTAAGGAGAAAAAGGAACTTTCTTAGCCTAATGAAGGGAATCTATGAGAAGACTACAGACAATATCATATTCAATGGTGAAACATTTAAATATTATTTAAAATCAGGAACAAGATAGAAAAGGGGAAAATAAAAAAGAGAGAGAGATAAAAGAAAGAAAAAAAGAGCCATGTCCTCTGCTTCACCTGCTTTTATCCCACCCATGGTCCAGTGATGCAAGAGTCTGGATTTGGGGTCTGTGGTGTAGTAAATTTCATGGTATGGCTTTTCTAGCCATAGCCTTTGTAACTCCCACTTTGCAGTGAGCAACTGAGTACCTGATTGTTAAAGTTGTCCACCTGGTGTATTTCTGTTGGAGCAACACAAAACAATCTTCTGGGAAGTTTGCTCTCCCTCAGGTGTGTAGAATTGTGATGTTGAGTTTGCTTGGTTTTGGCCACTCTGCCAGGCTCAAAAGGAGCCCTCCTAGAGGCAGGGGAGTGTCTCTCTGACTACCGGCTGAGAAAGACATGCTACTGAGAGAAAAGCGCTGCTGAAAGATGTGAGAGAGACACACTGCTGAGAGAGAGACACACATTGCTGAGAGAGAGATGTGCCACTGAGAGAGGCTGAGAGAGACTGTTGGCTGAGCGACAGCTGGCTGAAAGAGACTGAGCGCATTCCTGAACTTTAATTGTAGCCTGTTGCTTCCCTAATAAACCCCATAATCTGTGAGATCTATGTGGCCACTGCAGTGAAGTATCGAACCCAGCAGAGAGGTAGTGGGTGGCACAGGAGGAACAGTTGGTGTCAAGGTTAGTAAGAGGCCTGGGGCTGGCAGCATGTCTGGTGTCATAGGAGCAGGCCTTGGGCTGTTGATGGTGATTCTGTCTTCCTCTCATGTAGTTAGAGGAGGTCAGAAGATGCCACCTCCCTGCCCCTTTAGCAGGGTCTTAAAAAGGTTAGGGGAAAATAATCAGCATGAAGATCGTGGACTTCCCTTTAAAGAAAGGGAAGCCAATGTAAAAGTAAATAAATAAATAATGTCATTACAATATTATATTGCACTTTCAGGGAGGTGAGTTATGGGCCTCAAACATGTGGAGCTCTTAGCTGGGAATAACAGTATTTAGGGAGTGCTTGAAGTACATATTCTTGGGGTCTCAACTAAGTTAATCCATCCAGTTTCCTGCAGCTCTTTCTCTAGAGCTATTTGATGTTTCCTTAGCATTGGTGTGTGGACTTTGTTTGTGGATCACACCAGCCCTAGATTAAACTATTGAGGTTTTTGGGTAGGGTTCTTAGATAAGGAGTAATATTGTGGCCCATGCATGTTCAGTCCGTCTCAAAGAACACCTTATATCTGAAGTACGGGTGTGCATTGTGTAACATCCACGATGTGTTGTGTGAAATAGGACATTATGTTATTTGGACGTTGTGCAAACACCAAATTAAAACCTTATGGGAGCTTGCTTCTAGTTGTCTTGTCACTGCTCTTGTTGCTGCTGCTGCTCCTGAAGTTGCTGGCAGAGGCTGGAGGTATGGAAGGTGGCAGCAAGGGTGGCTGAGTGGGCAGGGATGGGATTAGAGCAATAGGAAACAAGAGGGAAAGGAGCGGAGCATACTCAGCTCTGCCTCCTGCACAGCACCTGAGAGCCCATGGCCACAGCCATGTCTTCTGCTTCACCTGCCTGTGGCCCACACACGGTCCAGTGCTGCAAGAGTCTGGACTTGGGGTCTTTAAAACTGTTAGGAGAAAATAATTGACAAGAAGATCACTGGTTTCCCTTTTATATAAAAAAAAAAAAAACCACTTATGAGATCATGGACTTATGTGTGGTTGGATGTTGAGCAATCCACACCTGCATCTTCAAGAAGAGTGTTCTATTGACCACAGGGAAACAATAAATTTTCCTGCTTCAGTAGTTTGTAGTTCCTTAGTGAGTATAGAGATGACCTGATGGAATGACAAGGAAGATCTATGTGCTATATGGTTGCTTTTTAAAAAGCAAATTACAGAATAACAGGTATAACAGGAGCTTGTTTTAAAAAGACTATTTACCTACTATTTGAATATGCATCTAAAAGTCTAGAAGGCCACACTTTAATCAATTAATAGCACTTATGTCTAAGAGTAGATAAGTTTGGGGCTGAGAATGAGGAATTTTCATTTTTTATAATTTATATATTTGACTATTTCTTGATGTTTGTAATTTTAAATGGAAGGAGTTCTAGTGTCACAGTGGTGCAAGCATTCAGCTGCTAACCAAAAGGTGAGCAGTTTGAACCCACCAGCAGCTCTGTGGGAGAAAGATGAGGCAGTCTGTTTCAATAAAGATTTATAGGCTTGGATACCCTAAGGGGAGTTCTACTCTGTCCTAAAGGGTTGCTATGAGTCAGAACCAACTTGATGGCAATGGGTTAGGTTTGGTCTTGATTTTAAATGAAAACACTGCATAAGTGTTTGTTTAAGTGAGTGAATGAGAAACACCAGGAGGGGGATCTATGCTTGCTGAACAGTGACTCTATACTTCCTAAACTGGTAGCTTAGTTCCAACCAAACAGCTGCTCCTTGGGAGAAAGATAAGGTGGTTTGCTTCCATAAATATTTACAGACTTGGAAACCCTAGGGGGCAGTTCTACTCTGTCCTAAAGAGTCACAATGAGTCAGAATTGACTTGATGGCAGTGGGTTTGGTTTTTGGTTTTGGTTCCATCTAAATGGAAAGAGAGTTATTCAAAACACTTCCATGATTTCCCAAATCCCTTTATATACAGCCAATGACCAGGGTTGATTGTTCCAGGAAGTGAGAATCTATAAGTACACTGAAATTTTTTGTCTCCCCTTCTCCAATATGTGTCCACAGGAAGTTAAGGACTATCCCTGGCCATTTGATTGGAAAAAAAAAAAAAAGCAATGTTTCATAACATGAAGCTGTAAATGACGGGAAAACAGGAAGGGGGGAGATACAATACACTTTTGAGGATGTATCTGCGATTTGAGCTCTTAATTTTTCTCTATTTACAAAAAATATAGTTCTGAGAATGGAGACTAAGGAAATAAAAACAGAGGTAGCTAAAGAAGACAATAAAAAGAGACCTTCCATGAAGTAAAGGAAACAAACAGAAGGAGCTGAAGAATTCCTCTGAATCAGCTCACCATAAAATCAGAAAACCTAAGACTCTTCAAAGTGAAAAAGGAACTAATAGAACTTGATTGTAGCTTTACTAATTTTAGTGCAAAACAGAAAACAAATAAAAAAACAGTAACATCTGGAGAAATTCAAGGGTACATTTAGGTTAAAGAGGGGGAATACAGATGGCTCACTATCATCGTGTCCACTCCACCTCATACCGACCCCCACTGGGTTTCTGAGCATGTGAATCTCTGTAGTATTTCCTTTCTCAGAGCAGCTGGTGAGTCTGAATCGCCAACCTTCTGGTTAGCAGTCAAATAAATGCCTTAGGCACTGCACCACAGAGCTCCTTTCTACATTTACTATTAGAAATCAAGTTGAAAACAAGTTTTTTTCATTTTTGCAGGTACAATCTGGACTCAGCAAATACTAAGCTTGATTTATTTTGAGGAACATCGTAACAGAACTGAACTTGTGGAAACAATTGATCGAGCCCCTTTCCTGGAGTACAATATATGTAAAGTGGACTTTCTCAAGCGACCATCTCCTCGTCTCTTTACTTCCCACATTCCTTATTATTTAGCACCAAAGGGTCTCAAGAACAAAGAAGCTAAAGTACGTCAAAAAAATGACTTAGGAACTTTTTCTCTAGGCATGTCTTGTTCACCCTACTCATCCACATTCTTTCAAATGTTTTGATTCTTATATTGTGATGATGTTGTCTGATGTATTTAAAAATAGGTAGAGGATTATAGGCATATGCATACACTGAGTCAGTTTTCAATATTATTTTTCAATGTGATTATATAGAAAAATATCTTTCTTGTCAGCATATAAAACTTCCTTATTTTCCACAGCATTTTATTGTGAGGTATATATATATATTGATGAACAGTAGGTTCCAGCAAATGTATATATTACATTACAATAAGCATTTTCACAAATCTTTGTACTTTTCTATTCTAGTGCACTATTTCCCTAAAAGCAAAGTTTTTAGGTTAATGTATCCAACTACTTTAAATTTTGTTGGCATTACCTACTTTTTATGATGTATCCACTTACACTTGTTCAGATAGCATACAAGAATGCTTCTTTCTTCACATGCCTCCCAGTGATTGCAGTAACGCATTTTGTTAATGCGCTAAGTAAAAAAAATCTCATTCTTGAACAATTTGCATTCCTTTATATTTTTAATAAGATTGAGTATCTTTAATCTATGCTCTTAGTCTTTTGATAATCTGTTATATTCTTTTCCATATATATTTTTTTTTTTAGTTTGTTTTTTATTTCCTCTTTTCTAGAACCACTTGTGGCTACCAACTTAAAGAATGTCTGGAGGCTAACATCCACCCAGCAGCACTGGGCTTCTCTATTGTGTTGTTCATTATGCAAAGATTCCTGTTCTACTGGCCATTAAAAACAAACTGTCATGTTGTTTAATCATTTCATCTTAAAATGTTTTAACTGTTTGTTTGTGTTGTCAGATGTCTTCTTTTGCCTGAGGTTTTGTTGTATGCCTTTGTTCATTTTTTATTTTCACTGCTTTTTCATTTTACCAGTTATGTAGTACGAATATCTATGACTCTTCTTCACCAAATAATTAGGTTCTTCTAGCTCTGGTAGCATAGTGCCTAAGGCACTTGACAGCTAACCAAAAGGCTGGAGGTCCAAACCCACCAGCCACTCCTCGGAAGGAAGATGGGGCAATCTACTTCCATAGTGATACTGCCTCGGAAACCCAAGAAGGGGTCATATGAGTCGGGTACGACTCGAGGGCACATAACAACAACAACAATAACAGTATTTGGTATTATCACACAGTGTTATCAACATTCAAGAACATGTCCCCTGGTGCACATTTCTATGAATTTCCTAGCAAATTCACCCAAAAATAAAATTGTAAATTGACAAACACAGGAAAATACAACTTGACAAAAAAGAAAAAAGCTAAAAACCTACCCTCATAGAGTTGATTCTGACTCATAGTGATGCCCAAAGGGTTTCCAAGGGTGTACATTTTTATGGGAAATATATTATCTCATCTTTCTCCATGGGGAAACTAGTGTGTTTGAACCACTGACTTGGTTAATAGACAAATGCCTTATCCAGTACACCAACAGAGCTTCTTTTTCAACTTGACAAGGTAAGGCTATAACAAGGCAGTTCTACGAGCTCATCTTGATTCTCAAGTACTAGGGAGTACTTTTTAGATTTCTTAATTTTATCAATCTGATAGCTATAAAATAAATGGCATCTCAAACTAGTCTTAATTTCCTTTTCCATAATCAGTATTAAGACTAAGCACTTTTCATATGTTTGCCTTAATATTTCTTCTTCTGTGAAATGACTATTTGTGACTTTTGTGCAATTTTCCATTAAGTTTTCTTATTGTTTTGCTTTATACATATTCTGGATATTAATCTAACCTAGGTTATATGTATTGCTTCTCTCATACTATGTTTTATTTTTTAACTTTATTTATGGTACATTTTAGTGAACAGGATTCTTATTTTTAATGTAATCAAGTCAATCAATTGTTATTCTTGTTTAAGAAATTTTTTTCTGCTCTAAGATCAGAAATGTGTCCTTTAATATATATTTTTAGATGGCAGAGTTCTGCTTTCATATTTACATCCTTAATCTTTTAATAATGATTAATTTTTAGTATGATATGAGATAGATATTAATTTTCATTTTTTCCCACATGCATAATGATTTGCTCCAATTCCACAGTTGAAGAGTTTTCCCTTCCCTCGTTTATCTGCAATGCTGCCTTGGCTACATATCAGATATCACATGTTATAGGTGAAGAGTAAACTGACACAACTTCTGTGTAAACCAGTTTGCAATATGTATCAGCCTTCCAAGTAAACGATTTCACTTCTAGGAGTTTATCCAACACACTTGCACAGATATGAAATGTCTTGTGAACAAAGTCATGGATTGCAACACTCTTTGTAATAGCAAAAAAATGGGAACAATATAAATTTCCATGAATAGTAGACTGGGTAAATAAATTACTGCGCATTCATGCAATTAAATATTATGCAGATGTCAAAAAAGTCTGGAAAGACAGCGAAGGAATTGTTAAAATTATTTCTTTATTCCTCTGCAGATTGTTTATGTCTACAGAAATCCTAAGGATGTTTTGACCTCCTTTTTTCATTTTTCAAAGTTCATAGTTACATTAGAATCATCAGAAACTATGGAACAATTCATGAGAAAGTTTCTAGATGGAAAAGGTAATTTTGAATTTATTTACCAAGCACATGTTTATGAGGTAATATTGGCATTTAGCCAAATTCTCAAATTTAAGGAATATATTTTGGGACTAAGGAACTCTAGTGGTGAAGTGGTTAAAACATTCGAGTGCGGATGCTAACAAAATGGTCAGCAATTTGAACCCACCAGCCACTCAGGGGAGGAAAATCAGGAAGTCTGCTTTTGATAAGACTTACAGCACTGGAGACCCTATGGGGCAGTTCTACTCTGTCCTATACGGTTGCTATGAGACAGAATCCACACTACTGCACTGGGTTTTTGCTATTTTGGGACTGGAGAAGGGAGATGATTGAATGTGGAATGCACAAGAGGAATTACTATTGCACATGATTTTATTCTATTTGTCCAATGGTCTTTCTACCTTGCAAGCACCACTTTGACAGTTGTGGAGGTTGCAAAGGTATATATTTTAGTAAATATTCTGACCAGATTGTAAAAGGATCAAAAACATTCTAGCAATTTATATTAACTAGACCCACATCAGAGTCCCTGGGTGATGCCAATGCTCAACACTCTCATCTGCTGACCCTAAAGGACAGGTTCAAGTCCACCCAGAGGTACTCAGAAGAAAGGTCTGAGAATCTACTCCAAAAAACTTAGCCACAGGAAACCGTATGGACCATCCTTCTACTCCTCTGATACACGGAGTTGCTGTGAGTCAGAATCAACTCGATGGCAACTGGAAAGCACCCCAGATTGACAGGTTCTAGAATAGCTAATGTTCGGGAAGAGTGCAGTTTTTGTACCTTGTCAGGGATTCATGGGAGGTCATCTACAGCAGCTGTGGAATTTCATTCCACCAGTGAAGAATATAGATGGAGACAAGAAGCTTTGCAATGTGGAACCTGGACTCTCCCTCATTTAGAAAATTATACTAAGGTCTGTCCCTTTGTTGAGAGCTAGAACTGCTGTCCAGACATCTTAGACAAGAGGATAAACAGAAAAATGTGTTTTCAGGTAGAGGAAATAGGAAAATGAAGGGTCTGATCTTTTAAAAAATCTTCAAAATTAGATCTTTGGCCTTCTTACCTCTGCATTGCTGCTTTCCCACATACTTAGTGTACATTTTCATAGGAAAATTCCTATTAAAATCATGTGGTTTTTCCTCAAGCTCTAACCTTTTGAAAAGAAGGGAATATGGAAGTCAAGTAGTGAGAGGTTTATTATTTCCTCTGAGGACTCCAGAACAGAAAAGCTATAATTTATTGTTAAAAAAAAAAAATTGCAACATTTTACCTAGTCACTTATTAATTTTTCCCACAGTGGTAGGAAGCCTTTGGTTTGATCACATCAGAGGCTGGTATGAGCACAAACACGATTTCAATATTCTGTTCCTGCATTATGAAGATATGAAGAAGGTAAGATGAGAAGGTTTCTCTTATTATTCTTAAAAGCCTTTCTTCTCTTGGTTTCAGTGAATCACTTTCACCTAGTTCTCTTTGTATATTAGTACATATTCCCTCTCAAGTTTCTTTTGGGGCTTCTAATTTTCTGCTCATCCCCTAATTAATAGTCTTTCTAGCACTCTCTTCCAGGTGTCTTCTTAGTCTTTTATAGTCATGCCTTCTCATGTAACCCCTTGTAGTAATTAAGGCAAACCCAAATGTCCAGAGCATCTTGACATAAATAAAGAGGGTGGACACTGTGGAGAATTAAGAGATAAGAAACCATTTCTAAGATATGGCTAATGATTGCCACAGGTGAATGTGTGCCCTATGATGCACATGCTTCCTGTTTTATAAGACAAGCTTGAAATGTCGACTTCATGTGAAATCATATAGTGTTGAAATGTTGACAATTGATTCAAAGACGTTTCAACCATTGTCTAAACCAGACAAAACACATTCGAAGTTCACTACTTTGTGATCTCTGATTAATATGTTAACTCATTTATACATTATTTATTTATGATTGATTTTTTTTAAAAAAATTATGGAATGCCTACTATCAGGTCAGTACTTAATCATGAGAAAAAGAGAATTGTAACCCATTATTTAGGAGCTCTGATAGCGTAGTGCCTAAACACTTGACTGCTAACCAGAAGGCTGGTGGTTCAAACCCACCAGCCACTCCTCGGAAGGAAGGTTGGGCAATCTCCTTCCGTAGTGATACTGCCTTGGAAACCCAAGGAGGGGTCACTGTGAGTTGGGTCCAACTCAACGGCACACAACAACAACAACAACCCTTTATTTATAAAGCTCATAAACTAACAGGGAAGACATGCAGTCATCAAGAAAGTATAAAGATTAAAAACTGTTATAAGTGTTTTTAAGGAAAAGTACAGGTATATTGTCAATCTATGTAACAAAGGTATCTCAAATGGTGAAGGGTGACAGGGGATTTTTTTTTTTTTGCAAGAAGCAATATGAAAACTGCAAGTTCAAAGAATATGAGTTAACAAAGGGAAGAGTGGCAGATGAGTATTCCTAGCCAAGGTAACTTTTGAAAATTTTCTGAAACCATAAAGCACCTTTGAGAAACTGAAGGAAGTATGTAGAGAGCTAGACAAAAGTGGTGGAAGACGAAGATACAAAGGTATGTAAGAGACAGATTACACAAGGTCGGTAGGTTGTGTTAGTGATTGCTAAAGGGGCATGGAGGTGGCATCTTCTGACCTCCTCTAACTACACAAGAGGGTGACAGAATCACCATCAGCAGCCCAAAGCCTGTTCTTAAGATGCCAGACATGCTCCAGCCCTCTTAGTAAACTTGACACCAACCATTCCTTCCGTGGCACCTGCCACCTCTTCGCTGGGTTCAGTAATACACTGCAGTGGCTGCACAGATCTCAAATAATAGGGTTTATTAGGTAAGCAATAGGGTACAATTCAAATTCAGGAAGACACTCAGGACACAGTTCTTCAATCAGGTCAGTCTCCCCTCTGCTGTGTTCTTAGACACTCCTCTCTGGCCTTTGGTTTCTTGGCCTGACATCTGCTTCTGGAGGCCAGGTAAGTTTGATGCTGTCTCTGTCTCTCATGCCTCTTGGTTCCACCACCACCATCTTTTTAGCCAGGCCTCTCTCTCAGCAGCTGGTCTCTCTCTCTCTCTCAGCAGCCAGGCCTCTCTCTCAGCACCTGGTCTCTCTCTCTCTCTCTTTCTCTCAGAAGCCAGGCCTCTCTGTCAGCAGTCTGGTCTCTCTCTCAGCAGCCAGGACTCTCTCTTTCAGCAGCTGGGCCTCTCTCTCAGCAGCTGGGCCTCTCTCTCAGCAGCTGGGTCTCTCTCTCTCAGCAGCCAGGTCTCCTTCAGATGGCAGTCAGAGAGAGATTACTTCTGCCTCTAGGAGGGCTCCTTTTGAGGCTGGCAGAGTGGCCAAAACCAAACAATCCCAATATCAGAGTTCTACACACCTGAGAGAAAGCAAACTTCCCAGCAGATCGCTTCATGCTACTTGAACAGAAATACACCAAGTGGATAACTTAAACAAGCAGCTACTCAGTTGTTCACAGCAAAGTGGGAGTTAGAGAGACTATGGCTAGAAAAGTCATACCATGTAATTTACTAACCACAGTGATCATGGTTTTGTTTTTCTTTTTAATCTTAAAAAAGTAAGGAGACATTTAAGAGTTACAAAAAAAGGATAGAAATGTGATAGAATTGATCATTTTAGAATAGCATTCCCATTAGTGCATTGAAAAGTGTAATAGTGAATATAGACAGACCAGTTAGAGGCCAGAACTGTAATCCAAGTAAAAAACAATGGTGTTTTGAATTAGAGTAGTTTCATTGGGCCTGGAGAGAATGCAATATTAAGACAATTTAGGAGGTAAAAGGGAAGGGGGATTACATTTAGGAATAATGAGAAAAAAAGCTGTCAAGATTTTTGGTTGATGTAGTTATGGTTCCATTCATGAAGAAGATAGGTAACAATGAATCGGGAACAGGTCAAAGGGAGAAGAGTATGAGATTGGTTTTATCATGTGGAGGTTAAGGTGACTTAGAAACATCCAAATGGAGATATTGAGAAATAGATGGAAAATACAAGTATAAAGTGGAAAGAGGTCTGAACAGAATTTATTAATTCAATCTTTGCCATTGTATAGAATACAACTGAAACCATGAACATGGATGAAATGATGAAATCAAAACAGAGGAAGTGAGAAAAAATAGAATGAGAAGTAAAGGGCAGATAGAACAAATTACTGAGAGACTTTAACATGCAAAGTTTCAGTAAAGAAGGATGAGACCTCCAAGGAAACAGACAAGGAACAATAATACAGGTCAAAAGAAAGCAAGGTATGGTGACATGGAGACCAAGAGAGGTGTCAAGAAGAGGGAAAGAAATAAATATTTGCCTGCAAAGAAAGAAAGTAAAACTGAGAATTTAGAATGTCTATTGAATTTAGCAGCAGGAAGGATAGTGTGAAGCTTGGTAGCCAGGTTGGAGTGGGTTGGGACGAATCCCAAATCTGTATCACCAGCCTAAATCCTAGAGCAGAGATTCAGACACAATTTATTCACCAATTCTATCACTGATGAGAAATAAGACTATTTCAACTTTTGTCCCATTTTGAACAATCTGAAAGTTCTTTTCATACCCAGGATATATCTGGATATGATGTACACATGCATGCCTTTGAAGCTATACACTTAGGTATAAATTGCTGGGTCTTGGGATGGGTGTACCTTTAAGTTGAGTAGACTAAAGGATTATGTGGTAGTTAAGGTTCTGTGTCAACTTGGCTGGGCCTGGTTTTGAGTGGCTGGGCAGCTACAGTAGTATTCCCCACGATGAGTTTGGAAATTATATCCATGGTGTAATCTACTGTGAGCTGCCTCAGGGATGTGGTCTGCTTCCAGTATATAAGGAGAAGCTTTAGGAATGGTCTATAGCTTTTGGCATGCTTGAACCCTGCACATAGCTGAGTGGTTGTTCATGTTGTCTACCAATCTTGGGATTCTTAGTGGACTTGAATCAGTGGCCTCCTGTGTAGTTTGGTAATTATCAGGACTGTACCTTTTTACTTGTCAACCTTGGGTTTGTCAGCCTCAGCAGCCAGCAGCTGCCTGAGTGAGAAAGCCTCCAGCTTCAGTGGGCCAGGATCAAGAGGCAGAGCTGAAGCTCAAGATGAGGGGCTTTCACCCCACGCTTGGAGTCTGGCACTTTGAACATGGACTTCCAGCCTCCAAAACTGTAAGAGAATAAACTGTTTGTTAAAGCCACCCATTTGTAGTATTTCCTGTTAGAGTGGCACAAAGTAACCAAAACACATTGTTTTCTGAGTCTCATCTAGAATCATTGGAATTAAAATCAGTTTCTAACTACACAGTAAAGTCACACCAGGAATACTGAAACACATAAAGCTGCTCTCAGGAGCTTTTGCGTATTTCTCAATGACTCGGATTGCTATTCCCAGGTCCACAGTGACAACATAGAATCAATCTTCATTTCCTTATCTCAAGTGTCCAGCATTGTACAGTTGGAATGAAGATAAACTGATGAGCTTACTGTACAATGTGAAATATGGCTCAGAATTATGGACAACGATAGGTAGTAGCATTGAGGTATAATTTATATATTTATAATTTATATGCTAGGTGAAGAACTGTAGAGAGAGATACAAAAGAGTCTTCAAGATGTCTTACAAACAAGAATGATTTTTAAGGGAAGTTGATCTCTGTTTTATCTCTCTGATAAAATTATGGATTTTTCCTTATGTCCCTAGCTCCCAGTTCACTGTCTCTATTCTAATCTGCTATTAAAAGGGTTCACCAAGATCTTAATTTTTATTCCTGAATTGAGATCTACTTTAAATCTGTTGTTATTTTGATACTTTCTAATTTTTGTTTGCCAAAATTTTATTTTTTGTCTTTTATTGCCTTGAAGCATAGTTATTAAAAAAACTATATCTGATAATTCCGTATCTGTAGCATCTATAGTTGTTTGTATTATTCTTACTTCTTCTGATTCTTGGCTATATTATCTCTTGATGTAAATGTCTATGTTTATTATCTGTTAGTCATGATACCTAAAAATTATTTGTAGAAATAATCGGATGAATTATTGCTGTTGCTGGTTGCCATAGAGTCAATTCCAATTCACTGAGGCCCCACATACACAGGATACAACTGCTCCGCAGGGTTTCCAAGACTTTGACCTTCTGGAAGCAGATCTGTAGACCTGTCTCCTGTGGCTCCCCTGTGTGGTTTGAACCATGAAACTTTTAGCATCTAGCTGAGGGCTTAAATATTTGCATCACCCAAAGACTCTTATTTGATAACTGAGTTCCTACCATTTTACTCACCCCCCACAGTCAACATATCTCTTTTATCACCTGCAAGAATGAATACTAAGATACTCACGCAGCTTACCAAAGCCCTTTTTCTTATGTCCCCAAGATGTCTCTCCAGTTCCGTTTCTCTTGAGTACACCAAGTATGAAGCACACCGAGTTTCAATTTTCATTGAACATGGAAGGCATTACAAGCTTCTGTAATTTGGGACTTACTTTTACAATCAGAAATGGATTCTTATGCTTTTCCAGGGAAATTTCTTATCCTTCTTTCTTCCTGAATTGGAAGAAATGTTTATTCCTCTTGAAAATTGTTCTAACTTCTCCAAGATAAAATTAATCTTTCTTTCCTATGAACTATCATTGCACATTGTGTTTCTGTTTCAGGCCACCCTTGGCCATTGTATTTTACTTTTTTTTTACTACTTTACTTATGAAACTCTGAACCCTTAACAAGTACAGATAGTATTTTATTGTTCTCTTAAACATTTCCAGCATCTAGCACAATTTCTGAAACAAGATACTCCTTAAATGTTGGTTTAATGAATGAAGACATGTTATCCTTAGAAATTTAAACAAAAGGAAGCTCTAAAAAAAAGAAAAAAGGCTGACAACCAAAGCACTTATTCTCAGAGAACGAATGTGGAAGTAATATATCATCAAACTTAGAATGAGTTCAGCACCACCCTTTCTCAGAATGTGATAAAGGTGTTATTCTGTAACTCATGTATAAACTAACTAGTTTCTCATACTCACAATTCCTTTTAGGATCTCAGAAGTTCTGTGCTTAAAATCTGCAGTTTTCTTGAGAAACAACTGAGTGACGAGGCTGTGGATGCTGTTGTGAGACAGGCTACTTTTCAGAATATGAAGTCTGATCCACGAGCAAATTATAAGGAAATTCTAAAGAATGAAATTGGGACAAGAAATGATGATGGAGCTTTCTTACGTAAAGGTGATGCCAAGGGGTTTGTAGCACTAAATGTGTTGATAGTTCCCTTGAGTCACGGCCCATATGGGAACTGGGGGATATTTCCAACGTGCCTCTCAAATGATAGTGGCATAGGGGATCTAGAGACAATCTAAGGTCCTAACCAAAAATGGTCCTGAAGTGTGTTTCAGAAACCCTAAAACTGCTTCAATATAAAGATTGACACCACTTGACTGCTAACCAGAAGGCTGGCAGTTCAAACCGACCAGCCTTAGGTTGATTGCCTAAGAAGGAAGGTTAGGCAATCAACTTTCATAGTGATACCACCTCGGAAACCCAAGGAGGGGTCGCAATGAGTTGGGTCCGACTTGTCAGCACATAACAACAATAATAAGTTTTAGGTCCCTTCCTTCTAGCCTATGTGATGCCACTCTTTTAAATTTGTTAGCAATGTTTTGTCTGAATATAATGGTAATCTGACCTGGACAGCACCAATTTTTGTTTTCCTATATTTGAGGAGCTCTGGTAGCATAGTGGCTAAGATACTTGCCTGCTAACCAGACAGCTGG